GCTTGTTTGAGTCCATACAGCGCCTTTTTGAGTCTATACACTTGATCTCCCTTAGTGTGTAACTCAAATCCTGGAGGTTGTTCCACATAAACTTCTTCCTCGAGGTTTCCGTTGAGAAATGCGCTTTTGACATCCATTTGATAGACTTTGAAGTCCTTATGAGCAGCAAAGGCTAGAAACAGCCTTATAGCTTCAAGTCTAGCAACTGGAGCGAAGGTTTCATCAAAATCTATACCTTCTTCTTGACAATATCCTTTGGCAACCAACCGGGCTTTGTTTATGACAACAACGCCGTTTTCATCCATCTTGTCCCGGAAGACCCACTTTGTCCCAATGACATGTTGATGAGTAGGTCTGGGAACAAGTTTCCAGACGTCATTTCTGAAAAATTGGTTGAGTTCTTCTTGCATTGCATTGATCCAATCAGAATCAGCTAGAGCTTCTTCAATATTCTTTGGTTCCACTTGTGAGATGAAACAAGCAAGCATAGCTTCTAGATTCTGTTGGGCACTCCTTGTGCGAACGCCATAATGAATATCTCCAATGATATATTGAGGAGGATGATCCCTTAACCAACGAAGATTGTGTTGATTGAGATTGACTGGTTGATCTAGTTCAGCTTCTGGTTGAAGAACAGAAGTTGTTGGTGTTTCCGGATGGATTGGCACTGGGTCGCCATTTCCGGAATTGTCGCTGTTTGAGTGATCCGGAATATTGAAAGGCTGGCCAAAATTTCCGGTAGGCTCAGCACTATCTGAATCCGGATTTCTCTGTGAAGTCTTCAGTGGGAGACTTCTGAATGGAATGGACTCCGTGGGCTTCATTCTATCTCCTTCATTGACTTCTTCATCCTTGTTTGATAGATCCAGAACCTCATGATCATGCTTTGATGGCTTGTCAACCACATGTTTTTCATCTAAAATAACATGTATTGACTCTTCAGTGATCATGGTTCTTTTGTTGAAGACTCTGAATGCCTTGCTCACCATGGAATATCCTAGGAAGATGGCCTCATCTGATTTTTCATCAAAAGTGTTCAGATGATTCTTCCCATTGTTTAACACAAAGCACTTGCTCCCAAAAATATGGAAATATGATATATTAGGCTTTCTCCCGTTCCATAGTTCATAGGGAGTTTTGTTGTGCCTTTTATAAATCATATTCCTATTCTGAGTATAGCAAGCCGTGTTAACAGCTTCAGCCCAGAACCTCTTTGGTAAGGAAGCTTCTGCTAGCATGGTTCTCACTGCTTCCTTCAAGGTTCTGTTTCTTCTTTCAGCTACACCATTCTGTTGAGGCGTCCTTGCTGCGGATGTCTGATGAAGAATTTCATTTTCTTCACAGTAGTGAATGATGGTTTCATTCAGGAATTCTGTGCCTTTGTCAAATCTGATCTTCTGAATGGTCTGACTTGCTTGGTTTTGAATCAGCTTCATGCAGTTAGTGAGTTTCCCTTGAGTTTCCTTCTTGCTATTGAGGAAGATTGTCCACGTGTATCTTGAGTAATCATCAACTACCACCAGGACATATTTCATTCCACTTAGACTTATTGGTGTAACAGGGCCAAATAAGTCCATGTGAAGAAGACTTAATATCCTTGTAGTTGAGGGTGCCGGTTTTGCCTTGAAATTAGAATTGACTTGCTTTCCTTTCTGGCAAGCATCACAAATGCTTTCATTTCTGAATACAGCTTTTGGAAGACCTTCTACTAACCCTTCTTTGGACAGCTTGTTGAGAGTTTTGAAGTTGAGATGACTCAACCTCTTATTCCAAAGCCATAGAAGGTTAGTGTCACTTTTGCTGATTAGACATGCTTCCTTGACATTGTCCCACATTACTTCATAGATGTTTCTGATTCTCTTCCCACTGAGAATGACTTCATTTGTGGAGATGTTCTTGAGAGATGCCATGTCCTTGCAGAATTCCAAGGAGTAACCTTTATCACAAAACTGACTTATGCTAAGAAGGTTGTAATTGAGACCTTCAACATAAGATACAGCTTGGATGGTTAGTCCCTTGTACACCAGATTTCCTAGCCCTTTAGTCAGGCCAAAATCATTGCTTCCTCCAAAAGTAACTCTTGGACCATCATAGGGAATTAGATTGCTCAAAAGGCTCGCATCACCCGTCACGTGTCTTGAACAGCCAGTGTCTAAGTACCAGACACCTGGGTACTTAGCGGCTTCCTGCATTAGGAGGAGGAAGATTTTGGTACCCAATTGAGTTTGGGTCCGGAATAGTTAATGGTGTGTGTCCCTACATCAAGTTTGAAGTTGCATCGAATTTTCCTTGCAGCTCTAAACTTGTTGGGATTGTAGTCATAGTTGTAGGCATAAAACTTCCTACGTGCAGGAGGTGCAATTTCCTATTTCCTCCTAGCAAACCTAGGTTGGTAAGACCTATAGTTTTGTCTAGGTTGTGCATAGTGTGACCTGTGACGGTTATAAGCATACTTAGGTGGCACAATTAGTTTCTGGGGTGGAGAATGACTATATCTTGGCATAGTTCTCCACTCAGAATTTCTTGGAAAACTCCTATCTACCCCATAATGAGTATAGCCTCGTGTATAGTGGGGGTTAGAAGGTTTTCTTCTGAAATTATTTCCTCTTTGAGATCTGTCCAGCTTCCTATAGTTCTTAGGAGGGACTACCTTTTTGGGAACTTATGTTGGTTTCTCCTTTTCCTTTCCTTTCTGCTTATTTGGTTTGGCAGTAGGTTTAGGAGGGATGAAAGTTGTTCTCCCTTTCTTTTTCGAACTAGAGGGGTCAAACCCAAGTCCTTCACGACCCTTATGTTTGGTCATTTCAAGAAGCTTATCCACTGCTTCTTTGGACTTAAGTATCCCTAGCTCCTTGTTAAGGGATTTCACCCTTTCAGAGAGAGATTCATTTTCAGTCTTGAGTTGAGTGATCTCATCTAGTTGACTTTTCCGACCTTCAGTCAACTTGAGATTCTCTTCACTCAATAGTTTGTTCTCCTCTGTTAAGGATGAATGTTTGAGATTTATTTCCTCAAAATCTTCCATCATCTTTTTGAACTGGTCAAAAAGATTATCAGAAGTTGGTATGCTTTCATAAGAAGATGAGCAGGAGGTTTGTGAAGTTACCTCTTGATCAGCATCATCTTTGGCCATTAGGCTGAGAGTGTCATCTTCTGACATAGTCCACCTATCCTCATTATTGGACTTCTCAACTCTGCGCTCCATGCAAACGAGGGCTTCTTCATCCGAGCTTGAGCTGGATGACTCGTCACTTTTAGCAGCAACCATTGCCTTCTTTTTCTTCTCGTTCCTCTCTCTTTCTCCGTACTTCTCCACCTTTGGGTACGGGCATGCTGACTTCCAGTGGCCAGGCTTCCTGCAGTTATAACACAAATAAGATTCAAGAGGGGAGTCATTTACCTGTGGCTTTCCCTTGGATGGCCTTCTGACTGAGTCATCCTTCTTGAAGAACTTCTTGAACTTCCAGAATTGCTTGACCATCATGGCAAATTCCTCATCGCAGTTCTCCATTTTTGAGCTTGACGGCTGGCTGGAGGAAGGTGTGTCACAATTCCTTGGGCATGTCCCTTCACTTCATGGGACTCTTGGAGTTGTCATCAGTGCCGTGGGGAAGGAAGTGACTTGTTCTTCCTTTTTCTTCTTCAGCTCGTGCTCATAGGTTCTGAGCTCATCAAGGAGACCTTGGACAGTGTAGTTTTCCAGGTTTCTTCCTTCTTCCATGGCTGTGGCTTTGGTGTACCACTCGGTTGGAAGCGATCTCAGTAACCTTACATTCTTTTCCTTGGGAGAAAGAACGTGGTTAAGGGATGCAAGATCATTCAAGATTTTGTGGAATCTTTCGTCCAACATATCAAATGATTCTCCGGGAAGCATTTTGAAGCTTTTGAACTTCTCAAGCAGGACCTCTATCTTCTGCTTTCTCAAGTCCTCTGATCCCTCACATAGCTTCCCAAGACCTTGTCATATCTCCATGGCAGTCTTGAGATGCTTGATCTTGGAGAAGGTGATGAGATCAAGTGTCTTGAAAATGGCTGCTTTGGCGACGTTGTCCAGATTGTGATTTTTGCAATCTCTATCATCCCATTTTTCTTTGGGCTTTGGAATGTACTGGACTACATCAGGAGCTTCTGGATTCCTCTCAGGATTCTCCATTTTGATTTTCAAGGGTCCATCCTCAAGCACCATCCACATGCAATCATGTAGAGCATAGAGATGTGCTTCCATCATGATCTTGCAATCATCATAACCTAGAAGAGAAAACTTGGGCAAACCGTGATCCATATTGTTCACCATTATGATCGCTTCTCGTTAATCTAAACGTAGATAGTGAGAAGTTTGCTCCGATACCAATTGGTGGTCCCAAAGTGGTGAGATACAAAGTCTAGAGGGGGGGTGAATAAACTTTGTTACAAATTTAAAAACTTTTTCGTTTCTTTTTGAAAACGTGAAAATGAGTGTTAATCTAGAGTTCTTGTGAACTTTAGATTGTGTGCGGAATTTGGCGGGTAGAGTGAGCAATAATCAATATGGATGGGTTAGTTTTCACAGTTATTATAATTGCAAGTAAGAATAAAGATAAAAGAGAGAGACATTCAAACTTTAACGAGGTTCGAAAGTGGGGCAATCCTTCTACATCCTCAAAATCCACTATGTAGTTGGTTGTTGAATAACGAACCAACAATTACACTTGTGTAAATTTCTGCACGGTATATCTTTGCAAGGCCAATGTTACTACTGCATTCGTGCTGGCTTTGTTGTTCCTTCGAAGGTCACGCTTCTTCAACAACTGCAACGTCCGAACAATAGGACTTGCAAGATCAACTTGTAAGAAAGTTGACCTACCCCCTTTTAATCAAGAAGTTTGATCAAAAGTTATATCCTTCAACGTGGTGTGGTACTTGAGGCAAGGAAACCTTCAAGTGTTTACACTATAGCTCTTTGGAAGGAGGAGAAGTTTGCTTCTAGATAAGGAGTTTAGAAATCTCTCTTTATCAAGCTCTTTGAGCTAACTGTGAATGAGATAGCTTTGTTGTTGGAGATTGCTTCATTGTGTTCTTATGTTTTTCTATCTCATGGGTTGTGTGTATTCTCCAGTCTTCCAAGGATGCTATTTATAGCTGGATTGGATAATCTATCCGTTGAATTACAATAGACTATCCGTTGCATTTGCTGGCTTCAATTTTGAATGAAGATTGTGATTTGAAGACTCCTCGTTGGAATGGGTGTTCGGACATACCCAATTGTTTGAGGAGGGATTCCTTTTTCCACGGAATTCGTCTTCTAGCTGTTGTTCAAGAATTCTAGACTGTAGCACTTTACTCTGTTTGTCTTCTAGTGCTTGTTTAGGAATTCTAGACAGGCTCTTCAATTTTAGAGGTCCAGACTTTGTCTTTGTAACACCCCAACCCGCGTAACCCGGATCAACGAGTTAGCGAATCGGGTTGTTACTAATTCGGTACTCACATGCATAATATTTTAAAACATTTAATAATAAAATATCAATTCACATTTATTTAAAAACAATTCATAAATAATTAGAGTAGATAATTCAAACATTGCGGAAGTCTTTAAAATAACGTCGTCAACATTCTTGTAGTTCAACAAAATAAAAGTCAACAGGTATTCAATTCAATTTCAGACAGCTTTGGGCCATCCACCAGTGTCACGCTTCACTGTCCTCCGGGCTGCTCCTCATCTAATTCTTGGCCCCTACCTGTAAAAATAGGGAGAGTGGAAATATCCAACGCTAGAACCAACTCATAGACTAGCACCCATTAACATATAGTCATACAATATCAGAAAAATCAGAAATTACAGTTACCAAATAGTATAATCCATCGTTCATTCGTTCCTATGTCCGTTCATTTCATATTCTTGTGTTTTGTTACAACACTTAACATATTCGACTAAAGTCTAACTAAACACACTAGTCATGGACACTCTTGGAAAGGTGTCCAAGAGGCCAAGCTTGTAAACCCAATGGAAGGTGTCCGATTGGGCGGGTTGGAGCCCCTACCACAGAGGTGCCGAGGCAGGTCACGGACTCCCGTACGTACGCTTTAACCCTGGAGACCATCAGATGTACGCCGACACCTGCATGACCTTAAGTTTCAAATTCTCAATTATATAAGTGTTTCAAATCTCTAGTTCAATTCAGATCGGTCCAATACTTTTAAGTGTCTCAATTCACAATTTCAATTCAACGTGTTACTGTTGCCAACTCTGTAAAGTTGGATCATTTCATAGTCAAACTAAATCTTAAAGCCCAAATTATAAGGGATGAGTCGAATTGCAACCAGCTTGGAAATCATGGGGTCAATTTGCAAATATTAGAAACTTATTTTATTCCTCAATTATTAGAGAGGAAGAGAGAATTTGACTCTTCGTTCTCTTCTTCCTGGCGCAGCACCGGACACAGAGCAAAGTAGGGAAGCGGCGACTCCTCCTAACGACGTCCATCCTCCGGTGCCGGCGGCGAAAAAATAGCTCGGCGACCAGCAACGGCGGCAGCGGTTCCCCCACCAACGGTGAGAGCCCTCGCAGCAGCGGCAACACTCTCCACCAACACCGGCGGCAACACGCTGGGCACGGCGGTGGCACACCTCCGGCAGCGGCAGCCCAGCACCAGCCCGGCGGCAGCGACTTCTCCCTCAGCGAATCAGCGACACAGAGAGGGAGTATCAACCGATTGAAATAACAGAGCAGATGGACGAGAAACAGAACAGAGAAGGGACATGAGAACGCAATAGAGCAGCACCGAGCAAGAAAAGTGCAAACTCCCAATTCAATTCAATTCAATCAAATAATTCAGCAATTCAATTCACAAATTCATCATCAATTATACGAAAATATATCAACGAACCCACCTAATCTATGAATTAACTCTAACGAGAGATAAATCACTCACCTCAATTGGATCGACGAAGAACCTAAGTGGCAGCTAGATCCGGCGAAGAAACCTGGTGACAATGTCCGACGAAACTTTCCGGCATTTCCTCTAGTCTGGACGGAAGTTGTGTGCGAAGGAGAAAAGGCAAGACCATTTATATGCCAATTACCCAATGCCTTTCCTAACGGAAATACGTTTCTTATCCATTTTATTTATTACTCCGTATTATTATTATTATTATATTATTAAATCTCTTTACATTAATTTATTGAATTGTATTGACTATTTTCCTCACCACGGTTCACACGAAATTCCAAACTCGACAAAAAATATGCCGTTGGTCGCCTTTTCTCGAGACCTATCCGAAAACCTAATTCTCAATTAAAATGGTCAATCTTACAAATAATTCGTATTTAGAGTCAATAAATAGTTTTTTTCATTAAAATAACAGCTCACTACTAAGCCGGTTTTCAAGGCGTTACAGTCTTCGAGTCATTTGTTTTTGAATCAGCATAATTATCTTCAATCTAGCCGTTGAAAATCAAGAGATTGATTTTTCCTTACCAACGGGTAGAATTTCTTCATTCAAGACTTAGATAATTTTCTAAGTCTTTTCTCACTTGTCCGCTTTTGAGAGTTCCGGTCTTTCTTGAGGCATCCGGTTCTTAGCTGAAAAATTTGGAAGAGTCATTCTCAGTCTTCCTGGTGAGAAAGAGATCCGCGCTAGTCTTCCGACTTAGCCTTCAGCGGGTTGTGGCGAGACATCCGATAATCATGTAGTCTTCTGGATTGGAGGATTTTCATCCGCTTTGAGAAATCCTTACTTGTCTCTGACATTTCCGATCAAGATATCCAATTTCCAAATCACTGAATTTGATTAAGTCTTCAGGCATCAAACTGCTTAAAGAAATATCACAACTTTATTGGAAATCTCAAGAACTCGGTTTTAACAATATTTCTAAAAAGAAAAATTACATTGAATATTGGGGGAGACCTAAAGTCCCTATTACATTCTAAATACATCATGCATCATCAAAATCTATAATATTTTTCCCAACAACTGAGCTACTAAAGTTTTAAGGTGATTACTAACAAAAGAAAAGAGTGTAACAATGTACACATTAAAATATCTTGTCTAATATTCAATTATCTTATTTGATCACCAAAATGGATAACCAAGTTCTGAAGGGGCTGCAGACCTAGATGGATGAGTGAGTCTTATTTTGGTATCAAACGAGAATAATTGTATAGAGGACAAGATGAACTTGTTTGAATATTAAATAAAGTAGTATTTACTCCCAACACATCATAGTGTAGTGATGTGGCTGGATACAAATCAAAATAATGTAATGAATAATCTATATCGCAAGACGTTACATGCCGACGTACCCTGATCGACAAGATAAAACGAATGAAGTGGACTCGGAATAAGTTACAACATCGAAACGTGGAAGGGTGTTTGGCCATTAGTAGACACATCGTTGAGGGACACGTGACAAGTCTAATTAGTAGGTACTGATGACATCGATGGCGATAGTGGTGACGATAGTAGAACGCCCACTTATTCTCGTTAGTATGACCAAGAGAATTGTTGGAAAAATAACCTTAATGAATCAAGAGCGAATCAATGTAATCCTGACTATACCATTTGAAGATTTTAGGTTACGACTCTAGAAAGGTGAACCTACTCCGAGATCGATGAATGCACTTAATATCGAATAGGCTATTATTAATGTTGTGTCACAAACTTGAATGCAACCTGAAACTTGGGGACGAACCTCTAATTCGCGCCAAGAATGTGAAATTATGATATCCCTAGGTACAGCTTGAAAGGAGTAAGACACGATAATCTGAACACCAAACTACATTGGGAACACTGGCCAAGCATGACCCGTCGAGGGTACGAAGCTAAAGCAAACACTAACACAGTGAGTGTGCGTGATGCAACATCTCAAAGACACCCCATCTGAAAGGTTGAACTCGCATCACGATGTGACTTGGACGCGAAGTATTGACATGAAGAATCCCATGATTAACACCACGCAAAATACTCGAGCTAAGTAAGGCGTACGATACACTCCCAAGGATATGACGACTAAGGTACGTTGTACATCTGACGAAACCATGTATCGATAATCACTAATGCTGTAGAACTAGGAAGCGTGACACGAAAGAATACGAATGATGACGACCGCATGACGACGACGAATGCTAACAATATAGTACTGACGAGTATGTCGCATGAATGATTAGACAACAAATACGAGATCTGATTGGGCGATTGATATCACGTGGGCTAAACAACAGATTGCACAAGGCATTGCGAGACACAGATGACACGCAAAAGGACGAGTATTGCCGCGAATTCTAACAAAGTTCCTTTGACGCACAAATCAAACTTTCCAATGATGGATGAATCATGATGAAACTTGTTCCGCAAGAAACAAGTCGACAACTTACTATTTGATGTGCGACATCTCCCGCGTTTAGTCACAAATGCATGTAGATCGTTTAATGAATGGTTCTCGAAAGACTCATTTAAGAAATGCGTAGAAGACTGACGATTCATTGGAAGTAACTCATGAAACACTTTGTCGCATGAGTATGATTGTACAAACATTGGGTCTGACTATCATGACAAATGATTGACTAATATTTTTGAACTGCTAGAGTTTATCTGTAATCTACATCTGTACGTTGACTACACTGATTGTTCTTCCCTTTGACCCATGCATGGATGATGGTCAGACTTCCACACGTGAAAAGAGATGGTATCTCCGTAACGAATTGACAAAGCCTCTTTCCAAAATCAAGTGATGCGTCTCTGTGTGGTTTGGGCTGTGTACTTATGCGGGATGGAAAGGTGGTTGCTTATGCCTCAAGACAACTAAAACCCCACGAGGGTAACTATCCGACGCACGACTTAGAGGTAGCAGCTGCCATTTCTGGCCCGAAGATTTGGCGACATTACGAATTTGAAGAAAGGATTTCCATCTTCGCTGATCATAAGAGCTTGGAAGGATTTGAATTTGGGAGCAGATGGCATCTTTCTGTATTAGAGTCATTTGGTGGTACCATGCGGGGCTGTGAGGGAGTGCTTGTTACGGAGGCTCATGGGTCCGCTTACGCCATGCGTCCGGTTAGCAGCAATATGTATAACGACCTAAAGGGGAATTATTAGTGGCCTGTCATGAAGAAAGAAATTTTCGAGTTTACAGCACGTTGTTTGACTTGTCAGCAAGTCAAGCCGAACATCAGGTGTCATCCGTACAGTAACATGCGCTTGCCATTCCCGAGTGGAATACTTTTGTCTCCCCGTAAGAATGATGTTGTATGGGTCATCGTGGATCGTCTTACGAAATCTGTGCATTTCCTACCTGTTCGATGGGATATGTCACTACAGAAGTTAGCGGAGTTGTACCTCCGCGAGTTTGTTCCGTTGCATGGGGTACCTGTATCCATTATCTCCGACAGAGATCCCCGTTTGACTTCAAAGTTCTGGAAGGGACTCTAGCAGGCCTTGGGTACAAAGTTAAACTTGAGCACAGCCTTCCACCCTCAGACTAACGGTCAATCTGAGCGCGTGATACAGATACTTGAGGACATGATTAGAGCATGTGTGATCGACGTTGGGGAAAATTGGGAGCGATACTTGCCGTTGATGGAGTTTGCTTATAATAATAGTTTTCAGGGAGTATTCAGATAGCCCCATACGAGGCACTGTACGGGAGGAGGTGTGGGACACTGGTGTGTTGGACTGAATTGAGCGAGGCGAGATTTGAAGGTCCCGAACTTGTTTGTGAGACAGAAGAAAAGGTACAGTTAATCCGCGAGCATTTGCAGACAGCATTAGATTGGCAAAAAATCTTGTGCGTGAAAGACTTGTGTTGGTTTGTGGGGCTAGTCTACAATCCTATGAGCGAAGACTTACAGCCAGGGTGGGGGCCGGGGTGTTACAAATGGTATCAGAGCCAGGTTCGTAGGCCAACTCCGATATTAAATATGCAAATTAGAAAATAATCTTTATTTTTTACTGACTTAGTAATTAATTAATTAATTATATAAATTAATTAAAAATACCAAGCTAGGTTTTGGGGTGTTACATTTCTCTCCCCTTTAAAAGAATTTCGTCCTCGAAATTACGTGAATCATCATCACACAAGAGGTGAGAATACTGAACTCTCATGGACTCCTCGGTCTCTAACGTAGACTCTTCGACAGCATGGTTACGCCACAAGACTTTGACTAGGGGCACCCTCTTATTCCTCAACTCTATCACTTCTCGTGCTAGAATCTGCACCGGCTCCTCCTCATAGGTCAAGTTCTCGTCAAGAGTCACCACGCCTTCAGGCAACCGATGAGTCGGATCTGATCGATAACATCGGAGCATAGACACATGCAACACATTGTGAATCTTGCTCAGTCCAGGTGTTAGCTCCAATTGATAAGCTACAGGGCCAACCTTCGTAGTGATGGGATAAAGCCCAATGAAACGGGGACTCAATTTTCCTCTCTTTCCAAATCGTAGAACCTTTTTCCAAGGTGACACCTTAAGAAAAACCTTATCCCCCACTTCGAAAGAAATCTCCCGACGCTTCAAGTCCGCACAAGGTGAATCTCCTTTGGGTTTCTGAGCTGGCCCTTTTATAGCATCGCTTGGGGTGCCATGACTCAAAGTAGTTGATGTGGAATAAAATAAGGACGTGATGTTCAACTTAAAGGTGTTAATATAAATATGTTTATGTAAGAAATTTTTCTCCGTGACCACATGCTGTTGTTGATTATATGTTAATGTGGTGCTATTCTATGAGTTAGTGCTAGCTTAGGTATATTTTCACTCAGCACTTCGCTGAGTGTGTAGTCTTCTTGTCTTTGACTCCACACAGGTAGGGATGTGAATCGAGAGGGCCAGTCTGGAGGACGTTGATGCGTGACACCGTGGATGATGTCACCATTTTTATGTGGACATTTAATTATTGCATTAATTAATTATTTGGGTTAAACATTTATTGTTGAACGTTATTTTGAGACTTCCGCACTTGATAGATTTTACTCTATCTTTTTTGTAATTAACTTGGTGTCTGGATGTTTCTAAATAATTTGTCAAAAGTGTTGTGCTGTGAATATGAATTTAGTAGCAACCCGATTCGTTAACTCCTTGGTTCGGGTTACGCGGGTCGGGGTGTTACACTTTCGTCTCTTCACCGAGTACAAAAATTTGACTTGAGTCTATGCTCGATATAATTTCAGTACTACCAATTGTTATCAAATGAGAATTTTAACAAGTCAATATTTACTAAGTAAATTCATATACCTTTTCTGGAGCAGAGGGATGCGAGAGTCGTGGATGTGATTGACATTTTTTTAAGTCCAAATATATATATATACAATAAATAATTTTTTTAAATACAAATTTTGATCCGAAGGTCGGATTTAAAACCATTTGCTCTGATACCAAATTGTAACACCCCCAATCCGTCCAGGTCTGCAGCCCCTTTAGGACTAAAGTATAAACTTGGTATTCGTAAACATTCAAAATATTTCAAGCAATTTAAAACTTTATTTCATAATAAATTATTTAGAATAATAACAGAGTAGTTAATGTTGCGGAATCTGAATAAATAACAATTAAAAACATAATTATATAATGTCTTTTTAAACTTTAATTCATTTCACACATCCACTTTGACCATCTCGCTCCGTCTGCCGCCACAATTCCATCACATCATTCTTTTTGTTTACCTACGTGTAGCAAATAAAACATACTACACGCTCAACGTTGAAGCTGAGTAAGCATATCTAATGCATCGAACATCCATATAAATTGAATCTCAATTCATAATTAACCATTTGATATCATGCACACAATACATATTTCAAGCATACATTATTCATGATATTCACAATATTTTATTTTAAGTCATTTCATGATATATTCAATATTCAATATTTCATCTGTGCTCTTAAACTATTCTTATTCTATGGCGAAATCATTTTTATACAAGCTCTTAGCTATCCCTAGTCTAAGGCAATATTTCTAACCAAGCCCTTAAACTATAAATAGTTTAATGCAAAACATAAGAATCGATAATCCACCCTATGAGTCACGTGGATTACGTACCAAACCAAACAGTGATCTGTCGGGTGGGTGATATCCGGTCTAGATCCTGTACGTACGTTTTAACCCCGAATTATGAATTGGTCAAGGAGGTATATCTTAGAGTTCTTCTAAATATTCTTAATAATAATCATCAATTTTCCAAGTGGAGATATATCTTAAAGTTCTTCTAGATATCCTTAACAATACACATCATTTTCATAATCATCAATATATTCATTTTTAATCATGATTTAGTCATTCATAATTATTATTTTAATAAGAATATTCATCAAAGTCTGATCATAAACAACATCAATAATAATTTTAACAATATCCAATAACAAATAGCGGCCTAGCATCGAGTACTGTTAACACTTTAGCTTACCGTCATACAACCCATAAAATTTTATTTGTCAAAACATCATTTTTATTTTATCACATAAATTTTATTTGTCAATATTAATTTTTAACAATTATTTTTATATTGATCATAATTGATTGGTATAAAAAAATAGGCTTTTATAGCTTCAAAAATAGCATTTTTGGACTTAAAAATTTTCGTTACGGTCAATCGTTGGGTTTGAACGGTCGTCCGTTCCGTTGGAAAATGCAGGAAGATAAAGGGGTTACTATTCCCCATCTTCAACCTCTAACCCATTTTTCTCAAGTTCCATTTTTGGTCACCAAACTTCAATTAAACTATATAGAAATGTTCTCTAAGGTTCGTAGATCATTTTAGAGGCATCAATTCGAAGTTTTAACAACAAATTCAAGGTTTATGATTCTTGGTTCTTCACATATGTCAAACACAAAACTCAACCAAACGACCATTTATGAACGTAGAAACGATCTATACGAATATTCTAGTCACTAGATATATCTACGGGCTTACTTCGAAGTAAAACGATGATTCCGGCAGAAAAACAGCGAACCTTCCGGCGAACACTGCACCATGGCTTGCTCTTGCGACCTCTGGATAGCTTCTCTCAACTCTCTAAACTCTCCTCTAACTAATGGGATGATTTTGGTGTAGAGATGATGAAGAATGAATTGCTCTATATATAAGCCTAGGAGAGGGAGTTGTGTAGCTATGGCCTGTGATTTCCGTCAATTAAGGTGAGTGGAGGGGGCGGCTAATTTAATTCCTTCCAGTTTAGTTTGATTAAATTACCTCAATTGGGATACAGTTTTTGGTCCAACTTTATCCAAATTAAAATCCGTTTACACTGTTGCAATCAGACAGTCAAACTCTATTTAATTATATAACTTTTATGTTTATTTGAAATACTTAGTCTAACAACATATTTTTGGTTGTTGACTTTGTCAGAGTCAAAATTGAATTAATTGATATGTAATTACTCCCTCCGTCCGGAAATATTCTTCCCACTTTCCTTTTTGGTCCGTCCGGAAATATTCTTCTCATTTCCTTTTTTAGTATACTTTTTAAGGATAAATATCAATAATACCCTTCTATTTTATCACACATATACTTTTTTAGTACTTTTTTAATAATAAAAGGAGATTTAAAAGTTTATAGTATGTGCATTTTTTGAAAATTTTGTATTTTTTTACTACTCTTTAATAAGCGTGCCAAGTCAATACGGGAAGAATATTTCCGGACGGAGGGAGTAGAATTAGTCTCATATTCAATCAATATTATTTAATATAAATATTTATTTCAATAAATCATTTTACAAAAGTTCACATCTTTGAATTTTTCTCATTTTTATAAAATTACATATTTAAAATGTCATAACTAAAGTTCTGTACATCAGATTTATTCATAAAATATATCGTTGGATTCGTCTCTTCGAGACCTATCCATAAAAGTCAATCTTAAAAAAAATCATTTACTCCAAAAATTCCTTCATTTTTGGTCAAACATTGAAATAATGCTCTGTTGAGTCAAAATATGGTTTCTAAAAATACTTTTATAATAGAATAACTTTTAGACCATGTCTTAGGGCGTTACAATATATATATATATATATATATATATATATATATATATATATATATATATGTATATATATATATATATTTTATTATTAAACAAGTTTTATTAAAAGAAATCATGGTACAAAGGAGGGGGCTGGCCCAACCCCTACAAAGGCCCAATTACAAAATGCTAAAGCTGGAAAATAATGTACTAATACAACAAGTACAATAGTCACAAAGCGGGTCAGTGGTGAATAAGATGGGTTGTATATTCATCAGACCTTGCTTGTCCTATTTACCTTGTCCGGAATCCATATCACATGTGAGGAATTCTAAAAGCAAGCAAACAAAGGTCCGACAGCAAACCATTTTAGAGTAGAGAACGTGCCTTGTGAAGTCAGTCCAGATCCACTGCATTGATGCCAATGAAAATGCTCAGTGATGCCTAATGAAACCAATAGATCAACTGCCTATGGACAAATAAGAGATATCTGGAGAGATTTCTTGATGACTATGACCAAATTTCAAACCCAAGCTTAATTAAAAAAACCTGCAAATCTTGGCTAGAGCAAAACCAAATTAGCTTGACCTATAAACCTTCACACAATTCTTTCCAGATTGCAAATGGGAACCCACGAAATAAGATTCAATTCTTCCAAGCCATACAGAACACATTTGAAAACCTCACCATAGCTTGGCATGTTAACTGCCAAGCTCGAAATCTCGTCACAAAAACCAAAGTCAAAATGATGATTAAAAGAAATCTTCTAGTTGATCTTCTGACCTGGCTTGTTTAAGCTTCTTTTTGGCTTTCTTTTTTTGGCTTCTAGTCAGTGGTTGTTGTTGTTTTTTAGGAGGAACCTCCTTCTGAGAAGGACAGGTTTTCTTGAAGGCTTCTATGATCTCGGCAGCGAATGTATCTGTTGGTTCATCGGGGTCCTCCAGGCAACCTATAGGGGTCTTTTTTCTACCTTCATCTAAAAGTCGTGCTTTACTCCTAGTCACCATTTGAGAAGGGGAGAAAGTTTTCTTACCTTTAAACACCCTTCCCAAATTGAGTGGTGTCTTAGAGCATCTTGAGGTGTCAATTTGGAGGGGTTTAATTGCATAATCAATAAAAACATTATCTTCACCCTCTGAATGGGTGTACAAAATAGGCTCATCTCTTTCTAGTAGAAAATCCTCAATGGCATTATTCCAAAGGGCCATATTTTTATCATTGATATGAGCTAATAGATCTTCCTCTATTGTAGAATCTATAGTTGTGTAATCTCCCTGGTTGAAAAGAGCTGCAAATGAATTGGGCATGGTGGGTATGAATTCAGCAGCTAAGGGAGAAAGCCTAGATCTTGGCAGCAAAGGGTATTCAATTAAATAAGAAGGCTGGTGTTCACCGTCCTGGTTAGGACTATGACAAAGAGCTAACTGCTTATCCGTTGCATCCTGAGGAACATCAGACCTATCCTCACCCCTCAAAACCATATCAATCCGACCCTCAGAAACCAAAGTAGAAGTGTTACCTGTGATCCTAATCTCTGAAGCATCTTGGACAGAAATATTACAATCAACTAGACCCTGGTCTACATCCACCTTTATGACTGAGTTATCAACGTCAAAATGATTATTCTCTTCCTTCCCATACTGGGAGAGAGTAATCCTATCCAGAAAAATACCCAAAGCCCTTAAGAAGATCTTTGTCCCCTCACCTTTATCACAAGGAACAGAGATGTAGTTAAATCCTTCAATTCTATCCTCTGAAATTTGAATGAAATCTCCTCTCCCACTTGACTCATGACTGATTAAAACATTACGATTCAATTCGAACTTACACGCTCCCAGAGTTTTTGAATCAGCAATCCTAGGAATAGATTCAATTATCCATCTAAAGGAATCCAAATCAAACCAAATGGGGTATTTCTTTCTCCCGCATTGAAGAATGCATATATTGTGGTTGTAGAAAGAGTAAAAAACCTCAAATCCTCTTGATGGAGTATGAAACCTGAACTTACAGTTTTTACTAGGAGATGAGGAGAGACAGCCATCCTCGCCGCTGTTAACAATACGTCGGTGACTGTAGACATAGGAGGCTCCCAGATACCTAGTTTCAGGTGATTTGAACGGCCATCTATGTCTCTGCTGGGAATAACTTCGAGAAAGCTTTCGTTTGCCATGGCTTGCGTTGTAATTCCTGCGTGAAGAATGGTTTAAAGGCCAAAGCCCTTTAAATCTATAGAAAGGTGATTCTTTGACATAGCGACCGACTGAGAATTCGGGATTATGATTAGAGTAGTTCCACCGTCGATCCCCATTGGATAGATTTCTTCGGAAATTTGAACCCCTACCTTCGTAATACCGCCGGCCAGTGGGGGCGTAATTCCGCCGGACAGTAGCAATGGGAAGGCCAATCAAACGTCAATACAAAATACAGCTGCTCTTTCCTAAACAGGATAAAGTCATGTAGCCAAAATGTTAGAACAAGGGAATACTAAAAAAATGACAAAGACATACTACACACATTCACAAACCCAAAGGGTCGAAAAGTTGCTGGAAAAAATAATGGATCACACTAAGCAAGAAGTGCCCCTATAGCTGCTTTATGATGATGTTGATGAGCTCTGCAGAGTTGCCTTATCATCATCATCATCATCATCCCACTGGCTCTTAGGTATCTCTCCAGAATCAGCAACGGTGACCTTCTTCCCACTGTAGGTCCCGGCTCCCCCCTCAACTGCATACACCGTGTCCATCCCTTCAATAACTTTCCCAAACACAACATGCTCCCTGTCCAACCAGCTTGTCTTGACGTACAGTCGTAATGAAAAACTGGCAGCCATTAGAATCGCGTCCAAAGTTCACCATGGAAACAACACCTGGGTGGGAGTGCTTGATCTTGAAGTTTTCATCAGGAAAGCTACCTCCATATATGGACTCGTTTCCCCTTCCATCACCGTATGCAATATCTCAACCTTGAATCATGAATCCAGGTATTATGCGGTGAATTGGTTTTCCCTTATAATGAAGGGAAATTCCTTTTGCAGTCTTCCCCATCTCCCCTGTGCACAATGCCCTGAAGTTCTCAGCTGTTTTTGGTACATCTTTGCCATATAATCCGATAACAATTCTTCCTATTCGCTGCTTATCGATATCGACGTCCAAAAATACTCTATGGGTTACTTCAAACACCTCTTCAACGTTTTCTGCTCGCTGGAGATAGGAGGAGGCAGAGAAATAGATCAGAATGAAAGCGAGGATGGCGAGGAGAAGGTAGCGTGTGCGAAATATAGCTGAGATCCCCCGACCCATCTCTTCTTCTCTTTCATACACTCAACCCATTATATATATATATATATATATATATATATATATGTATGTATATATATATACATATATATATATATATATATATATATATATATATATATATATACTCCCTCCGTTTTTTAAAACACTTCCTCTTTCATTTTTTTCACTTCTAACAAAACACTTCCACTTTCTATTAAAAAACCACTTTTACCCTTACTTTTTCATACCCTACATAACACATCATACTTTATCTCTAATAATCTATCCATCACATCTTACTTTTACCTATCACATCAAGGGCAAAATTGGAAGTCAATTACAATTTAATACTTCCTTATTTTTACACAAAGTCAAAATAGGAACACTTTTTCCAAACGGAGGGAGTATATATATATGGGTAATAATGGGGTTAGGATTTCTAGAGAGAAGGGGGAGATTTCAACGGCAGCACCACTTCGCCGAACCTTTCAATTTCGATGGCCAATTCCGGCATCATCAGAACTGGAATTATGAAGGGAGAGGCAGAGGAACCCCTACACCTCGGTGGCGAAGCGATTCGAGAAACATCAGAAAAGGATGGAGATCCAAAACCTGGTTTGGTGATGTCCGAGCAAACTCTCCTCGTTACAAAGGTCCTTTTATATGCAATTCTAGCGTTTCAATCTCGATCGAGAGCAAGGTATTTAATTTCCAGACTCCAGGACTGATTGTAATTTCTGAATCCAAGAATGGTAAATCTCGAATTGTTTCTTTATCGCGTTCTACTGCCTCGTGGCTTTATGAATCACTAAGTCACCCACCATTGGCTAGAGAGGGTTGGGTGATTTCCAAATATGAGGGAAATTTGAAGGTGAAATCCCACTGGGATTCAAATTCTTCTGGAAATTTTGTTAGAATTAGAGCAGGGACAGAAAGGGAGATGTCGAATATTTGCGTTCCGGTTGGAAGGCATTCAGAAGGAATTAAGCTTTTTGTTAAAGCTCTGAATGTAGCCCTAAGCTTCCAAGAAGGCGAGGAATCTGGGGTTAAGGATTTAAACTTTGTCAAAGCTCCTGCACCTCTAGACTTGCTGATGCTTCCTGGGGAACGAGTAGAGGAGAAGCAAAGGGGGTTTCCTTCCATTTCATCTAATATTTTTGAACAAGATATTGTGCAGGTTTCAAGGATTGATAACATCACAGAAAAGGGGCTTTTTTCTGATCCAAAAGAGGAACTTGAAGAGGAAATAAACAAAGTTCAAAAATTATTCCAACCAGCTTTTGAGGCCTACTTTGAATCGATCTTCAAGGCACTAGAAAGACAAATTAAAGAGGCTTTGGCAAGGACAGAACTTCTGGACAAACTCAAAATGGGTCTCTTTCAAAATATGTCGGGGAAGACGTTAAGAGCAACAAGGGAGACAGTGAAAAGCATGGAAAAAGTAACCCTAGTTCAATTTGAAGATTCAAAATACCCAGCTTTTATTTCCTGCTCCAAGGCTGATGAAGGTCTTATGGCTGAATTTTTAACAGGGGAACAAGCTGCAGAGTCCCAAACTACAACTGCTTAAGTCTCTTTGGATGGGCTAGTGGGTCTCTCCTATTAAAGGGACCATGGGTAACCGGTTTAGCTTGGTGCACTTAATCTTTTAATTTTGTGTGTGGGTTCTATACAGTTGTGGTTCAGGGGGCTACTCCTTTACAAGGAATAATAGATTTCTGTTTTCTAATGTATAATACAACAAACTGGAATGGAAGCTCATCTAGGATGATCACAGCCTTGCATCTTGTGCTGCAGAAGTGAGCATTCATCTGTTGTGGATACACTTGGGGAAATATGATACTTCCAAGCTATGTTGCTGTTTTCATTAAGACTTGAACAAACTTAAAATGGGTCTCTTTCAGTAACTTTTTAGGAATGGGCTATGCTGCTGTTTTCATTAAGACTTGAACAAACTTAAAATGGGTCTCTTTCAGTAACTTTTTAGGAATGGGCTATGCTGCTGTTTTCTTTAAGACTTGAACAACATCCATTGTCCGGCAGCTGGTTGGGGGGCCTCGTTCGGGTCTGTCCCCTTTTGTTCAGATGCTTTCAATTGGAGTCATTGAAGACCCACCTAAGGGGTTGTATTTGCTTTTGTATTTCAATTGTTTGTACTTTAGTTTTTGGAGACACTATTTCGTCTATTTCTTGGGCTGTTTTATGCGATGTATTTGGTTTTGAGGAGCATTGGCTTGGACCCCTCCTCTTGTACTTGTTTGCCTTCCTTTTTAATAAAACTTTCCATTTAAAATAAAATATATATATATATATATATATATATATATATATATATATATATATTCTGCAGTTGCGCGCTTGTTGAATATTAAGTCAGAGCATAATCTATCTGAGCATTGTTACGACAACATATGTCAATACATCAAAGACATTCTCCCGGAGGACAACTCAATGTTGAATGACTTTTATGAAACTAAAAAGATGATTGAAGGTTTGGGTCTTCCGGTCCAAAAGATTCATTGTTGTGTTCTTGGATGCATGTTATATTGGAAAGGCGATGAAAGTCTTACCGAGTGCAAGGTGTGTCATAAGCCACGCTATAAAGATGAGACGTTTAAGATTCCGCACAGACAGATGTTCTACTTTCCGCGTACACCGAGGTTGAAACGCTTGTATATGTCCAAGCGTACGGCGGGGGCAATGAGGTGGCATGCCACACATCGACACACAAACCAAGATGAAATGTGTCACCCTTGCAATTCTGAGGCATGGAAAAGATTTGATGCAGACCATCCTTCTTTTGCTTCAGAAATGCGCAATGTGCGCCTAGGACTATGCACGGACTGGTTCCAACCCTTTTGCCAGTTAGGGTCCCAATATTCATGTTGGCCCGTAATGATTACTCCTTATAATCTTCCCCCTGACGTGTGCATGAAAGAAGAACATATTTTCTTGTCCTTAATTGTTCCTGGGCGGACTAATCCGAAGCAGAAGATTGACGTTTACTTGCAGCCATTGATTGAAGAGCTAAAGACCCTTTGGAGTGAAGGTGTTGAGACCTACGATGTGTCACTCAATCAAAATTTCAAAATGCGTGCTACCCTCATGTGGACAATCGGTGATCTCCCTGCATACGCAATGATGTCTGGGTGGAGCACGGCCGGGAAGATAGCGTGCCCCATTTGTATGGATCAAGTTGAATCGTTTCGACTACCTACTGGAGGAAAGCAATCGTGGTTTGACACTCATCGACGTTTTCTCCCCATGGATCATCCTTATAGAAAAAATAAGAAGTTTATGAAAAATACAGTTGAGACGAGAGCGCCACCCATTAGAAAAACTGGTCAAGAGACACTACGTGACATTGTAGGTTTGGGCATGCGGAGGATCGTCGAATGCAGATATTGGTGACATTTGCTTATCATTTGCTTATCATCGAATGCAGATATTGGTTTGTAATAGACCCGTAGAGATTTAACAAGTGTATGTCAGGTTGTGCGCAAATGAAATTAAAGAGTCTACACCACAAATTAGTGAAGAATCCCTGTTGAAACGTGTGGAAGGGACGTACGCAAGTTGGTTCGAAAAACATGTAAAGTTATTTTTTTTCTTTCTATGTGTAATATATGTGAGGTAATGCATATGTGCATGACTAATTTCGATTCATCTTCAGGTCGAGAATGATAGGTCTGTCCCGGAAATAATCAGTGATGTGGCCAATATACTTTGTAAACGGCTACTGCTTCCACACAGTAAAACATGGTTCAAAGCGTGCGATGTATAATAGTGGGGTATCTATTAAAGGCGCATATGGCGATTACTTTGGGGTATTAGAGGAGATTCTTGAAATTGAGTATCCAGCTTTGCCACTTAAACGTTGTGTCTTGTTTAAATGTCGATGGTTCGATCCGAGGTTGAATCGTGGGACCCGAGTACACAAGAAGTATGGTTTACTTGAGGTGCTTAAAAAGGGAGAGTTTAACCGATATGAGCCTTTCATCTTTGGGGCACAAGCAAACCAGGTTGTGTGTGTGGAATACCCTTGCACGCAAAAGACTAAGAGTGATTGGATTGCAGTGTGCCAAGTTCACCCTAGAGGTAATTGGATTGACATAGAAAATACACTAGAATCAGTAGACAAGGAGCAACAGGAACCTTTTCAAGCAAATGGGACCGAGAGAACCACAATCATGGAAGTGACACAAGACGATGAGATCATTACGCTATCACATGAGGGAGATGCTAATTTTACCGACGATGATAGTGATGCAGAAGAAGAAGATGAAGAACCAATTTTAAGCTCCGATGACTCCATAGAAGAAGAACAAGACTCAACAGAGAGCGAGTGAAATTAGATTGACAAGTAAACGTGTTTCCAATTCTTTCTAATACTGTTAATGACTAATATATATTTTGCTATATGAAATTTATTTTGTTTTATGAGCTAACTACACAATATTTTTATTTCCGTACAGATGAGTGAAAATGAGAACCCCCCTCCCCCCACGAAGACTGATAGAGAGGTGTTGGTACGTTTGAGGAGGTCCGTCATTGGTAGATGGAGAGGCTCTTCTGGCCAGGGATCGAGCACAGCCACTACATCCACAGGCACTCCCTCTATTTCCTAGAGTCCATTAACTGACACACAGGTGTCCCCCTCCACCCCACGTACTACGCCATCTGGCCCTTGTACGTCAGGTATGCACCTCTCCTCTTAGAGACTAATATAGTAAACTTTCCAATGGATAAGCCATTAGAGTGATGTTTCATTTATCAAGAAACTGAAACAATGTCTACGCTTGTTACTAGCTCTTTTTAATGCATGTATTATTGTGTTATTGTGTAAATAGCATCTAGGGTCGGGGAGAGTACTGAGGATCAGGAGGACGGAGGTGGCGATGACCACGACTTCGAGGACCACGTTGACGATGGACACAGTGGTGGGGCTCGAGATGGCGAGGGTCCCGGTCATCAGCGTCAGTTCGTGTATGTCAATTCGGATGACGAGTAAGTACGGTGTATATTTGAAGATTATGGTATGACATAAAACATTTACAAATACCTAACAATTTTATGTTCACTACTTATATATGTTTGTAGGGTTACAAACACTAGCGCTGGTGCTGGTCTCATCACACCGGCATTCTACGAGAGGACGGACACAACTGGCATGTCGTGGGGCAAAGTCTCAGCGACGACAAAGGAGTTCTACTATCGAGAGTTCAAGGTGTTTTTGGAAAAATTATGTTTTAACTTCTTTTGATCACTAGAAAATTAATATATGTGAATAGAATCTAAATTATTGGCTTTTCTATGATGTCAATATAGAAAAATGCTAGAGTGGATCCGTCAATCGATGAGGGCAGGCTGAGGAAAGCTTTTCTCAAGAAAGCGGCTGAACGGTATGCAAATTTTACGTACAATCAAAGGAACCCAGGTCGATTGAAGAAGAAGAAGAAGATGGACCCGAGGCCATTTGAGCAGTTGAAGAAGGTAAATTAGTAATAGATTTCATACGAAATCGTATTGCTATGTACAAGTAATTTTTATGACATATACAAGTATATGTTTGGGAAGAGGATCCGGAGTTTCTGAAGTTGAGTAAGACTAAGAAGAAGAATAGAAGAAAGGGAAAAGAGGATGGTCCTGCTCTTGGGACGTATTGTGGAGGTTCAGTTCCATTTTCTGAAAATATGAATTGATTGGTAAGATATGTTTTTATAAAATAATAGCTTTGCACTTGTTATTTGATTTGGTGGACATTAAATGTAAAATTTAATGGACGTGTTTATTGAAACTTGAAGGCTAAGAAAAAAGGGGGGCATGTGTCGGTGGATGAGGTTATCATCCACACAAAGACAAAGAAGCACGACGGCAAGACTTGGGTTGATCCTGAACATGCTGAGCTACAGGTAGTTTCTGTTATACGCAAAACAGTTTGTGTTCATGTTCATAATGTTGGTGTTTTTGTCTTAAAACTTCTAAAGGGTGATGCTTTATTCGATATCTTAGCGTGTGTAAATGAATTATATTATTCTTGTTGACGTTATTCTTCTTGTTGATGTTATTGTAAATCGCGTTTATTATTGTTGTTGCGTTGATGGTGGTGTTGTTGTCGTATGACACTAGCTATTTGTGTTGTTGCATTGATGGCGTTGTTGTCCTATGACAACCTATTTTTGTTGTTGCGTTGATGGTGCTGTCAACACTAAGTAAATTTTACGTTGTTATTGATCCATGGTAATATTAGTTGTTAAGTTCTTGTGGTCTTGTTTTTCTTGTTTTATTGTTGTTCTTGACGCAATGATTATTGTGTTGCTGTGTGTTATTAACTATTATGTATTTCAGGCTCAATTCTTCGAACTGCGCGAGGAGGCTACACAGAATGTGCTGCAAGTCACCGACGAAGAAATATGGTACTCGCTAGTTGAGGGCCATAACGCGGAGAACCGCGTTCCTTGAGTTGGTGACTAGCTACGAGCGGGAAATGAGGAAGATGAATCCGTCCTCCAAACCTCGATGTTCCAGCACGAGTAGTAGAAGCACAGCGGAGATATCAGCACTCAAAGAGCAAAACCAAAGGTTGCAGGAACGAATTGATAGTCTAACCTCGAACTTGTCACAGACGATTCAAGAGGAGATAACGAAGCTATATGGTGGTAACCTTCCTCGACGAGGTGATGATGATGAAACAGGAGGGGCAGGGCAGCCCGGGATTTGTTGAGACATTAAGGACCTTAGCTTCCTCCATTTTAAACACTTGACACTAACATTTTAATATTTGTTGTTAGAACATAATGAATTATGCTACATTCGCATTTGAAGTTTGCATTAATCTAGATTTGAATTATCAATTTGGGTGTTTGAAATCTTGTTTGGAATTATATGTGTGAAGATTGAATGTGTTTTGCCCCCCACACACCCCATTTTAATAGGTAGTGCTGAAAACAGCAAAATTCTGGTTCTGGCAACAGGTCATCTGCGACGGACATGACCGTGGCTATATTTGTCGCTGATCTGCGACGGTTTTTTATATCCGTCGCAGATTTTGACAAGCACATTCATTCTTAATATAGCAAAACTCTAAACCAAATGGGACGTCTCATACTCATCAAGCATGTTCTCTCGTCCATTCCCCTTCATATTTTAGTCGTGCACTCCCTTCCGGTCTCTGTCATCAATCTTCTTTATGCAAGGATGGCCAATTTCTTTTGGGGGAGAAGGCATGGTAACCAACTGCACCAGTGGAAGAGCTAGAAACGCCTCTGCTAACCCTCTACTGCCGGCGGGCTGGGTATTAAGGATCTTCAAACACTTCAACAGGCTCAATCCATCAACCTCTGGTGGTGGGTAAAGCATGACACGGGTGTGTGGGCTAACACCATGCGCGCCATTTATATGCGTAAGGCACTATCAAAGAAAAGCTCACTGATTCGTCAACTTGGAAGAGGATCTGCCGGGTACACTCCTACGCTATCACTCACCTTACTGATTCTTTTCAACCACCACTTTGGGATGGGAAACCGTTTTCCTCCAAGTCTACTCTCACCTCTCTTTACGGTGGAATCCCATCCCGTCTCTCTTGCAAGTACATCTAGCATAAGGCCCAGACTCTTAAAATCCGAATCTTCCAATGGAAAGCATTCATGAATTGCCTCCCTTTCCCGGAGTTAACCAAGTGCTTCGGTTCAAGTTTCCCTAGCCAATGTCCCCTTTGCAAGCAAGCAGAAGACTCTTTAGACCATACTCTTGGCAACTGCAAGTTTGGCAACCAGGTTTGGAAGTATTTTGGCACTCTTATCGAAGCTCCCTCGACAATGGCCAACCTCAAACTGAACCAAAATTTCATGAGTTGGTGGTTCTCCAGCGATGCGTTCTCCTTCAAAGGGGTTCTTCGAATCATTTTTCCAGGTGTCATTGCTTGGCACCTCTGGAAGGCAAGGAATTTAGCAATTCATGAAGGCCAAATCCACACCACGAATAATATCATCCAGCAATGCTTTAAACATATACAAGCATGGAGTTGGACTTCAAGACGCAAAAAATGGCTGATCCATGACAACACTTTCAAGGGTTTGGGTTTAGATTTATTTTGGAGTAACGGTAGTAAACTATTGTCGTTGGTGTAGTAGGCCTCTCTTTCACTTGTACTTCTTTTCCCTCAATTTTAATAAAATCTCATATATATATATATATATATATATATATATATATATATATATATATAGGGGTTGGTTCCTGTGATAATGAACCTTGATGAAAGAAATGAGAGATCTAAACCATTAGATTGTGTGTATCATGCGGCTCAGAGTTTGACAAGTAACTGCTTATTGATATGGTAAGTATTAATGCATTAGAAATAAAATAGGAAGAGATGGAGTAGTAAGGGTATTTTTGTAAAAGATGTACTCCCTCCGTCCCTAAATAGATTACAATCTTTTTTTCTCTCTCCTCTCGATAACTTTTGCTTGTTTACGTGATTTCATTAAGTATTTGATAAAATAAAATATTCTTGACACCTCTTGTTTTGTAGAACTTTTGACGCAGTTTTTTAATATGTAATTTTTATATCTTATTGATATACCAATTTGAAAATAAAATGATTTCAAAAAGTAAGAAATTTTACTCCGTAACCCGCAATTTTTAATCAAATTGGGGACGGAGGGAGTATTAATTAAAATAGGTAATGATCCGTGCACAGGCCCAAAATTTCAGCCGTTATTAAAGGAGTGGTCAAATTAATGATGGTGATATTAATCATTTTTTTAACCGTGCAATCATGGAGTTGTCAAGTTAATGATTTCTTCTTTTTCTCCCTTTCTTTTTGTAATTTTTTTATCAAAATCAATAATGGATAATATTTACTATTTACATATTTATAATATTTTATTTCTTTTTTGCTTTATTTTAATGCATTTCTCAACGTGAAAGGGAATTTTTTTTATTTATTTGCATTATTTTTTTGAAAGAAAATAATATGTGGTTTATTATTTAATTTTATTTCTAAACACTCACCTCTTTTTTCATCGCTTTTTGACATTTTTTTTCATATATTTTTCCTCATGAGATAATATTGTTATCAGTATGCACCATTTTATTATATAACTGCAATACGCATTGTAAATTATGCATGCATTATTTATTTATCATTGTATAATTACTTTTGATTGACTTTGTATGTGAGTAAAGAGTCTAAAAATACATTTTGTTGGAATAAGTGTAATATAGATTTGAAAATTTTTTTTCTATGCAGAATTCGAACCTACATTTCTAGTACATACTAATCTACCAAATGAGTTAATATGCAAGATTTGGTTTTTTCAAAAAGAGTCTCATCTTGCACTTGGAAATATTCAATACGCATTTTAATCTTTTAAGTCTTGCATCATTTAATATCTTTATAACTCATATTTAAATTTTACACGAAATCATAATGTTAAAATAGTACTTAAATATTTTAATAGCACTTAAATATTTTAAAGTTTCATCGTTTGTGAAAAATCACTATCTAAAATATTCAAATGCATCATACTAGTGTTAGGAGAATTTTAACATAGATGCATCAACTTTGATAATGAAAATGCACCTTAACATAATGAAAATGTATTATCATTTACCTTGATTTATGATAATGCATTGATTTCTCATGACAATGCATTATTGTAATTCTATAATGCATAACATACTCATGAAAATCCATGATTTTGATAATGCACAATATGAATAGAAAAACAAAAAAATAAGATGAAAAAAATAAATGTGTCATCAATGTACAAACTAATGAATACCAGATTGTCTTGCAACATTGTCAAGGTCAAAAGTTTTCAACTGATTAATAGAAAAATTAAGAAAAATTTAATTTATATATATGTGTGAGCATGTGAATTTTGACACCGGCCACCACTTCAATATAGTGGAATATGATTAAGATGTTACCAATTTAATTTAATATATGGAGTAAGTCCTAGAAATGTGTATGGAAACTTGTAATAAAGAAAGAATAAAGTGCATGAAAACTTGTAATAAAAAAATGCAATACAAATACACATAATGTGCATCATAATTTGTGATAAATGCTTTTAGATTGCGTTTAAATTAGACCATCTTGTTTAAACAACAAAACATGTCTACTTATAATCTTAACTCACTGCTAGAATTTTCAACCATATTGCACTACCTTGTGTGCAAAGTGCAAAACATAAAATGCTCTATAATACTTGGTTGATATCCTCTAGTTCATAAACAATTAAGCCCAAAAAATGACATTAAAACAATTAAATACGGAGTAATATCTTAGTGCATAAAACGTAATTGCAGAATCATTTGCCGATCTTTTGTCATTGAGCAGCTTGAATCGCCGACTAGGACTCCGCCATACATGACTCATGGCCCACTCAGTCGTCATCGTCGCTTCAATCGGGAGACACCACCACTTCGTCCAAGCAGTAGCCGTCGCTCAAAAAGTGAACCACTGGCTTCGCTAGGCTCTCACGGGAAGATTCACCGCCGGTAAGAGCAGGCGAGTCATCGCTACTCTTCTCCGATCTCTGTTTTCGGTGCCTCTCTAGTAGGGGAATTCCTAAATTAAATTATAAGGAACCAAGAATCTTGGTTTATTAAAGAAAGAAATTTCATTCTGTGAGAGAAAATTGAGGTACTAATTATGGGGAGAGAAGGTCGAGTGATTTGAGAGAGATGGAAATTTGAGAAAAATACATATTTACCCATATTAAATGTCAAATATTGAAGGCGTGAAGTGCTTGATCCAACGTCCTAAATTCATTCTCATTTCTTTCATAAGATCTCATTCTCACCAGAACCAAAATCAGTGGGGGTAAGGTCCGAGCTGCCTTACCAAATTTATTAAACAAGATTCGAACACGTTCGGGGAGGACTAGACCGAAGCCCCAAAAGTAAAAGATACAACAATATACTTAGAAAGAGCAAATACAAGAAAGACGAGCCTAGTCGACTGCCTCTAACTCTCAAGCAGCTTCCTAATTTGATCTGCAGCGCAACGTCCATGGCATTCATTTGTCCTTGGAGAGGTAAGGTTTGAGATTAAGAGCTTCAATTTCCTCCTTGCTTGCAATCTTCTGTACTTTCTTGTTGGACCATACCCAATGCTGAATCATTTTCTGGATTTCAATGGTTATCCCAATCCTCGATTCCATTGTGTCTTCATAGATGCTTCTGTTATATGCTTTCCAAAGATTCCAAATGATACAGCCAGGTAGAACTAACCTTAATAATCCTCTTAGAGATGTTTTGCTATGTGACAGCCACCACTCCAACATGTATTCCCTAAGATCCATCGCATTAGTTCTGGTTGGCCCCGTAGTATAATCTGCAAAGTATATATATATATATATATATATATATATATATATACACATACATACATACATACATACATATAGATACATACATACATATATATATATACATACATACATACATATATATATATATATATATATGTATGTATGTATGTATGTATATATATATATGTATGTGTGTGTGTGTATATATATATATATATATATATATATATATGTATGTATGTATGTATGTATGTATATATATATGTATGTATGTATATATATATATATATGTATGTATGTATATAAATATATATGTGTGTGTGTGTGTATATATATATATATATATATATATATATATATTAAAAGAGTGAATATATTAATCTCATTTTGTGGTACCATCTAAAAGTTTATATATATATATATATATATATATATATATATATATATATACATACATACATACATACATACATACATATATATAGATACATA